GAAGCCTAGGGAAAATCCATGAGACTTTTTAATCTCCAATTTACTACCTAAAAACTGGAAGCAGAGCTGTAGCTCAAAGTGGCTAAGCTCTAGCCTTGAGCAAAAAATCTCAGGAACAGTGCCCAGGCCCCAAGGTCATGACCCAAGACCAACAACAACAACAAAGATTCTCACAGACTTTCCTGCCCCTGCCTTGGCTAGTGTTGAACCTCAATGTTCAGATCTCAGTCTCTTGAGTAGCTACAATTACAGCTATGAGCCACCAACTCCTGGATTCCTTTATTACTTATTTAATTTTATTTCTTACAAGTTAACTCTCCAGTTTATGAGTTATGTGTATTGAAAACCTTTGTCCACTTCAGAACTGGACCTTTATCTTTTTCAACTTTTCCACATGAGTAAATGTCCTTCAGATTGTGTAGTGTTTGTCCCACTTTTAAAGGTACTCCCAGGAAAAACAGTTGAAAAAAATGTAAACTACAACTTAAAATAGTATTGAAATTTTACATCCTCCTGATAATACTAAGATAAATTCAGGTAAATTAAAAGACAGATGGACATTCCCAGGCATACTCATTGGTGATGCAGTAAGAAGCAGGGTGGGCATTTCTGGGAATTCCTCTATGATTGTCACCTCAATGTTGGGAGCAAGGGGGTAGGAAGCACCCGGATACCAAGCGATGTCAGGCAGACATGTCAGGAGCTATGGCAGCTGTTCAGCCTCTGGACACCCTGGAAGCCACTAATATGTGCTACAAAGGCTTGTTTTTCTGTAGAGTTTACCATATGAATTTGGAGGCTATCTTCCTTCAGGTCACATTTACCAATAATTTCAGCATAACTTTAAAAGAGAAAAATCAAAACATATAGATCATATAACATATGTATATATGTTCACATATACATGTGTACATATATACACATGAACATACATATTTAGAATTTTTTTACTTCTAGTCTTTGTGTGTGTGTGTGTGTGTGTCTGTCTGTGTCTGTGTCTGTCTGTCTGTCTGTCTTGGGGGCTTAAACTCAGGGCCTGGGAGCTGTCCCTGAGCTAGTGTTCTACTATTTGAGCTACAGCTCCACTTTGAGCTTTTCTGGTAGTTAGAGGTAAGAATCTCAGACTTTCTTGCCTGGGCTGGCTTTGAACCACGATTCTCAGACATCGGTCTCCTAGGATTATAGGCATGAGTATAGGAGCTAGGATTATGGGTGTGAGCCATCAGTGCCTGTCTAACTTCCATTCTTAAGTGTTTTTAAAATTAACATACATTAATAGTACAAGAGATGTTCACTGTGGCAATTTCATGGATACATACAGAATATTTTAAAAGTTATTAATTAACTAATTATGTCGGCCATGGGGCTTGAACTCAGGGCCTAGGCACTGTCTGAGATTTTTGGCTCAAGAGTAGTGCTCTACCATTTTGAGCCACAGCACCCTTCCAAGTTTCTAGTGGCTAATTGGAGATAAGAGTTTCATGGACTTTCCTGCCCAGGCTGGCTTCGAACCATAATCCTCAGATCTCAGCCTTCTGTGTAGCTAGGATTTTTAATTAATTAATTTATTTATTTTTGTCAGTCATGGAGCCTGAACTCTGGGCCTGGGCACTGTCCCTCAGCTCTTCAGCACAAGGCAAGCGCTCTACCACTTGAGCCACAGCACCACTTCTGGCTTTATCTGCTATGTGGTGCTGAGGAATTGAACCCAGGGCCTCATGCATGCAAGGCACGCACTCTACCACCGAGCCACCTTCCCAGCCCCTGAGTAGCTAGGACTATAAGCATGAGCCACCAGCGCCTGCCATACAGTATACTTTAAACAAGTTTTTTCTTTTTGGGGGGAAGGTAGCAGTACTGGGGCTTGAACTCAGTGCTCTCACTTGGATTTCTTGCTCACAGCTGGGTGCTCTACCAGTTGAGCTACACCTCCACTTGCAGCTTTTTGGTTGGTAGTCAAAGAATCTCACAGGCTTTTTTCTGCCCAGGCTGAGCCGCCAAGTTCTTAAAACGCTTTTGAGTGAGTGTATATGTATATGTGTATGCAAGTTTTTGGGCTTGAACTCCAGGCCTCCATCTCTCTCTCAGCTGTTTTTTGGTTTGGGGGGTTTTTTTGGTCAGTCATGGGGCTTGAACTCTGGGCTTGGGAGGTTCCCTGTGCTCTTCAGTTCAAGGCGAGTGCTCTACCATCGAGCCATAGCGCCACTTCCAGTTTTCTAGTGGTTTATTGGAGATAAGAGTCTCACGGACTTTCCTGCCCGGGCTGGCTTTGAATTGTGATCCTCAGATCTCAGCCTCTTGAGTAACTAGGATTATAGGGCATGAGCCACCGGCACCCTGCTCTTTCAGCTGTTTTTACTCAAAACTAGCACTCTACCACTTGAGCCCCAGCCCCACCTCCAGCTTTTTTGGTGGTTAATTGGACATAAGAGTTTCTCAGATTTGTCTGCCTCTGGCTCAGTTTGAACTGTGATCCTCAGATCTCAGCCTCCTAAGTAGCTAGAATTACAGATGTGAGCTGTTGGGGCCTTGTTTAAAGTACTATTTGGCAGAGAGAGGGCAGGGATGCTAGTCCTAAAGCTTGAACTCGTTTATGCTTAAGATTTCACCAAACCTCCACTTTGGGTTTTGTTTTTTCTTTTGGTTGGTCATGGGGCTTGATTCAGGGCCTGGGCACTGTCCCTGAGCTTTTATGCTTGAGACTTAGAGCTATAGCTCTCCTTCCAGTTTGTTTTGTTTTTTGTTTTGTTTTGTTTTGTTTGGGTTTTTTTTTGCAGGAAGTGGTGAATTGAAGGTGAGAGTCTCCCAGACTTCCCAGCCTGGACTGGTTTCAAACTGCAATTTTCAGATCTCAGGCTTCTGAGTAACTAGAATTATAAACGTGAGCCACCAGTGCCCACCTAAAGTATTTTTTGATAGGGCCAAGTCAAGGAAGGAACTCAAGCATTTTATTTTTCTTTCAGTGTGTAATATATTTGCCGTCAGCAAATTAGCCCAGACCCAGGTAACAGGTGTGGATAGGAAGGAAGAGTGGGTGAAGAGGAAAGAAAGTAGGCTGCTGGCATCGGCGGTTTATATCTGTCACGGTTCATTCTGGGAAGAGGAGCCAGCTACTCTCTGCAGTCACTTCAAGGAACCAGACCTGCTTAGAGGGGAAGGGGCTGGGAAGGTGAACCAGAAGTGTGAGACTGACCTCCCCTGTTCTCCTGAGCCCTAGGCAGGAACCAAAGGGAATCTGAAAGTAAGTCCTAGCAGCGTACTTGTGGCTTATGCCTTTAATCCTAGCTACTCAGGACACTTTGAGCCAAGATCCTCTGAAGACAAATCTGAGAAACTCTCATTTCCAATTCTCCTTGCAAAAAGCCAGACACAGAGGTATGGCTCAAGTGATAGAGTACCAGCCTTGAGCAGAAAAGCTAAGCAAAAACTTGAGGCCGGCACTGAGTGCTTGAGCACATGCGCACATGCACACACAATCCAAGTCCAGACTCCAGTAGGATTTGAGGGAGCTACAGAGAAATCTGTCCAAACGGTTGCTCTGCTTGTTGGCCAGCAGGACCCGCAGTCAGGAAGATATAGAAGGTGTGGCGCCCAGGAGACCCAGCAGTAAGCTAGAACATGCCAGAGACTGCTATCTGCCCGAGGCCAACCATGGTGATTTACTAGGAGACGCAGCAGTGGCTTCTATGTCATCTTCCCAGGCTCTGCTTAGTTCTCTTTGCACCAGTCCCAATCCCCCAGCCACCTAGCCATGGGGACTCAGAATGGCTCTTGGCCTACTTAGCAGGTCAGTGCACTCCATTGAGCACAAGGGATTGAGGGCCATTCTCTTAGATACGAAGATGTGAGACAAGACCAAAATTCAAGATTTTTTGTTGTTTTGTTATTATTATTAAGTACTTGTACAAAGAGGCTTCAATTCCATAAGTTAGGTTATAAATACAATGTGTCTTTTATCAATGTCACCCCTTTCTTCGTGCTGCCCCACTTTCCCCCTCCTGTCCCTACCCTCAAGTTACGTAGTTCAGTTTTTACATAATGTGCATTGAATATAATGGCTGCATTTACTCACCCTTCCTCCCTCCATTCCTTTTGTCCTCCCCCTCAAAACATATTTTCTGCTTCCTGGTATTCATCTTGTTAAACAGGTTGTTGGTTGTTAAGAGGAATCACACCATTAGACTGAAGAGGCCAATGGTTACCATCCTTCAGTGTTTGTGTCTAGGCATAAACCCCCATCTATGTTATTATGTATGTTTGTATTTAGATCTAACTTCCACATGTGAGAGATACATGGGCTCTCTGATACATGGGCCCAACTTACTTAACATAATTTTTTCTAGGTCCATCCCTTTCCCTGAAAATGGTCTATTATCCTTTCTGATCGACGAATACAATTCCATTGTACAGATGTACCACATGCTCTTGATTGACTCATCGATGTAGAACATCTACAAAGCTCATTTTTGTTCCCTGGCTCTATTTGTCCTTGGCCAAGAAGGTGTCACTGAAACCTGCGCCTCTGTGCTGTGCCTCATGTGCTGCTCGTCTACTTTCACAGGCATTTTCTCCCTCTATCATAAGAGTCAGTGCTACTGTTCTCTATTACTGTAAACCAAGGCCCTGGCAGATCTTAGGCTGATATAAAGCTAGTGACTCTAAAGTCATTGAATATATCTTTTAGGATGGATGGAGATAACATCCCGTGGTTTAAAAAAAAAAAAAGTAAAATAGTTCTGAGAAGTGTGAAACTGTCATCCTTTCTCTAAATGACTTAATCCAGCAGGTGGTTTTTGATCACTGACTTACTCTGTGGGATGTGAACATGAGTGTTTCTCAGGGTCTGCCATTTGCTGGGCAGACATGCGCTCTTTCCTTCTGTCCTCATTGTTCTACTACTCATCTGAGAAACTGAGTGGACATGTGACCAAGATGAGGTAACTCAAAGCTGTCACCTTACCCTGGGTTGATAGTTTTATATTCCCTCTGTCTCTCTTCAGGGTCAGGTGTGGATCAATGGCTTTAACCTTGGCCGCTATTGGCCAGCACGAGGACCCCAGAAGACCTTATTTGTGCCACAGCACATCCTGACCACGTCAGCACCCAACAACATCACAGTGTTGGAACTGGAGTGGGCACCCTGCAGGATCCACGCCCTGGAACCGTGTATCGTTGAACTGGTGGATGAGCCAGTTATTAGCACAGAGGAGACCGACCAAATCCTAGGCCTGACAGAGAACCACGAGTGATGGTTGAGGCTTCCTGGACATCCCGTCCTGCCCATCCCTCATGAGTTCCCCCCCCCAGTAGAGCCGACACTCTCTAGAGACTTAGATTGGAAAATAAATGTAGGGTTGTTGCTGGAGGTTTCCCTAGAGCCCCACCGTGCCTGACTCCCTCTCTCCCTTGAACTTAAGGGAGATGACAGCACAGTCACAAACAAATCAGCAAAGAGGGAAGCCTGAAAAAGTGTCACTGATTTTGATTTTGGAAGAATCATGTTGTCTTTTTGCTAAATAAAATTTGTATTCAATGGTGTTCCTTTTTTTTTCTTTAATGTTGGAGCTGGTATTAAACGGTTCTTGTCTGACTTAAATCATAACTAGACTTGAGTGGGCTGCATAAGCCACTTCACTTGCTAGAGGTTCAAAGAAATCGTAAATGGGCCTGGTTTGATCTAGTGGACTGCTGCGTTTCTGATCCTTATTTGACTCGCTCTTGAATTTCTGTGATAACCACCAGGTAACGCCTAATTACATCTCATAGCAATTATGCACGTAACCTGTGTGATCAACTCACCTTGTAGCTAGTATAGTCCATCTGCATGGTAGAATGGTAGCTGACCATGAATATGATGACGCAAGCCAGTAATCCTTGCTATTCAGGAAGCTGAGATCTGAGGATCACAGTTCAAAGCCAACCCTTATGAGACTCTTATCTCCAACTAGCCACCAAAAAGCTGGAAGTAGAGTTGTGACCCAAGTGGTAGAGCCACCAGCACTGAGGGAAAAAGCTAATGGACAGCACCCTGAATTCAAGCCCCAGTACCAATGTACACACACACATACACACACAATAAAATTAAAAAAGAATAAAATGATGCAGATGTGCAGATGTTCATGTGAAAACACTAATCTTAAGAACAGTGCATATCTGCACACTCACTGTACTCTTTTTTTTTTTTTTTGTCGGTCGTGGGGCTTGAACTCTGGGCCTGGGCACTGTCCCTCAGCTCTTCAGCTCAAGGCGAGCACTCTACCGCTTGAGCTACAGCACCACTTCCGGTTTTCTGGTGGTTTATTGGAGATAGGAGTCTCACGGTCTCTCCTGCCCGGGCTGGCTTTGAACCACGATCCTCAGATCTCAGCCTCCTGAGTAGCTAGGATTACAGACGTGAGCCACCAGCGCCCAGCTCACTGTACTCTTATATACATGCCAGTGGGCAGGCACACATGGGTGTGGGCATGTGTGCGTGACATGTCAACAGGGCCATGCTGCTGAATAATGTATATGGAATTGTAGTGCTCCTTTCTTGAGTACTTGTTTATACTATGCACAGCCCTTGAGACCATTATCATATACATATATATCCTATATATGTGTGTATATGTATCTGATCTATATGATATATATGTGTGATTTGTTTTTCTACTACTGGAGCTTGAACTTGGGTTCTGATGCTTTAACCTGCCTTTTTCCCTCAAGATTGGCACTCTCCCACTTGAGCCACAACGTCACTGGCTGGCTTTGAACCTCAGTCCCAGACCTCAGCCTCTGAGTCGCTAGGACTACATGCATGAGCCACCAGTGCCCAGCTGAAGACCATATTTAATTTACACACCTCTTATAAGATCTGATTGTTGGCTTGCTGGTTTATCAGACGGTAGAGTTATAGGTAGTAGAGATGGAGTTTGATCCCAGATGGTCTGGGTCTAGTGTCTAGACAAACATGAGATGTTGATTCCTGCTTGCATTACATAGGAAAATTTCAGAATTGGACCAACAAAACCTTCGTATGGTTATATTGGGGGGTTCCTGAGTGGTTATTTACTGTTCTGTCTTTCATTGAGAATATAGAGAATACACAGTTTTCACAAAGGAGGGAGAAGAGGATTTGTGTGTTGGTCCCCATGTACATGGTAGTGGTCTTTCCTCTCAGAGGCACAAATCGGTAATTCAGCAGGGCATTTAAAATGGGGTGGGCCAATTGCTGAAGGTACGTATGCGTTGAGATAAACTGAGGCTAACACGTGTTTCTTTTCTTTCTTTTATTTTTTGCCAGTCTTGGGGCTCAAACTCAGAGCCTGGGCACTGTCCCTGAGCTGCTTCTACTCAAGGCTAGCATTCTATCGCTTGAGCCACAGCACCACTTTGGCTTTTTCTGTTGATATGGTATTGTGGAAGAGAACCCAGGCAAGCACTCTACCACTAAGCCACCCTCCCAGCCCCTTAAGTTTATTTTCCACAGTACCTTTTTCCACATGTTTGCACACTCTGCTGGCTGAGAGTGTTTTGTGGACTCACAGCCTCCTCCTCAGCTAAATTAGTGAACACATGGAACAATCAGGACAGACAAACACTAGAGGGGGGGCGGAGGGGGGAAGGGGCGGGCGCAGGGTCCTGTTAAAGCACTCCTCCATTAGTAAACCATGCTTTTCTCCCTCAGTCACACACATGGTCTCCAGGACAGGAAGGGTGCCTTCTTGAAGTGCATTTGATCTTTAGAACCACACCACGGGGTAAGTAGCAGTAAACCCATATGACAGACGAAAATATTTAACACTTGAGTAAAAGATAGCTGGTATTGCTTATTTATTTTTTTGCTTATTCTGGAGTTTAGACTCAGTGTTCTACCACTTGAGCCACACCCTGGCATGAGAGTTGGTTTTTAACCTGGTCTAAGCCAGGCTCAGTGGTTCATTCCTCTAATTCTTTTTTTTTCTTTTTTCTTTTTTTTTTGCCAGTCGTGAGGCCTGAACTCTGAGCCTGGGCGCTGTCCCTCAGCTCTTCAGCTCAAGGCAAGTGCTCTATCACTTGAGCCACAGCACCACTTCCAACTTTTTCTGCATATGTGGTGCTGAGGAATCGAACCCAGGGCCTCATGCATGCAAGGCAAGCACTCTACCACTGAGCCACTTTTCCAGCCCCATACCTCTAATTCTTGCACTCAGGATCCAGAGGCAGGAGAAGTATGAGTTCCAGGCCACGTGGTTACACAGCTGGACCTTGTCCAAAACACATTAAAACAGTGTTGTATGAAAGGAGAAGAGGTTAGCACTCCCCTTAAGCCTGACAACATGCATACGGTTAAGACATTAGCCCCTACTTCGTGGCATCTAACCATTGTATTTGGAAAAAATATATATATATTAAGTGAAGTAAGCCAGACTCAAAGAAACATAGGTCCCATGGTTTTCCTTATTTGCAATAACTAGTATATGGCTAGGAAAAGCAGAAAAGGTCAAAAGCTATGTACATATGACCATACAAGATGATGCTAAGTGAAATGAACCCCAAGATAGGGACACAAGAGGTCTATCTTTATTGCTGTTGTTTTTAATGTACTTATAATGTACTATGTGATTTTTTTTTGTTTCTTTTGTATGTTCTTCCCCCATGGGATCAAAAAGCCAGAAGTGAAGCTATGGCTCGAGTGGCAAAGCACTAGCCTTGCACACAAAAGCTCATGGACAGCACCCAGGCCAAGATTTCAAGCCCCAGGACCAGCAAGCAAAACAAAACTGGTATATCCTCCCGAGTCTTGAGGGCTGCCCACCTTCTCTACTGTGCCATTCCTTGCTCAAGAGGTGTCTGGAAAGGAAAATCTTAATACCTATGTAAAAGCATGTAGCCTCCACACAAACCATCTGACGCTCCGCTGCTCTCATGGGCTCGCATTTACTATCTGTGACTTCTGTGTGTGTGTGTGCGTGCATGCATGTGTGCTGATACTGAGGCTTGAACTTAGGGCCTAGTCACTGTGTCTTAACTTTTTCACTCAAAGCCAGTGCTCTATCACTTGAATCACCTTCACTTCCAATTTTGTAGTAGTTAATTGGAGATAAGAGTCTCACAGACTTTCCTACCTGGGGTGCTTTGAAATACAATCCTCAAATCTCAGCCTCCTGAGTAGCTAGGATTTAGGTGTGAGCCAGTAGTACCTGGGGTGAGGCATCTTTGTTACCTGCTCTGTTCACCTTTTTCTCATGAACTTATCTTTAAGATTTTTTTTTTTTTGTCCGTCATGGGGTTTAAACTCAGTCTGGGTTCTTGCCCCAAGCTTCTTTTGCTCAAGGTGAGCATTCTACCACTTGAGCCACAGTGCCACTTCTGGCTTTTTTGAGTAGTTTATTGGAGAGAAGAATCACAGAGTGTCCTGTTCGGGCTGGCTTCAAACCCCAATCCTCAGATCTCATCCTCCTGAGTAGCTAGAATTACAGGTGTGAGCCACCGGCGCCTGGCTTTTAAGATTATTTTAATATCTCAGGAATTCCAAAGCAGAGCTGGGCTAAGCCAGCCACACGTCTTAGAACAGTACGCATTCTCTGTAAGCTGAAGATGACCCTGCAGCCTTGGCCTTTGTCTTTTTTGGCTCTGTGGAGCCCACAATTATATAACCTGTAGCACTTTTGTGGGGGGTGAGGGGACTTGGGCTTGAACTCTGGGCCTCCGTGCTGTCCCTGAACTCCTTTTGCTTAAGGCTAGCTCTACTACTTGAGCCACAGCACCACTTCCAGTTTTCTGGTGGATAACAGTTATCTAAAAACCTCACGGACTTTTCTGCCAGGACTGGCTTTGAACCGTGATCCTCAGATCTCAGTCTCCTGAGTAGCTGGGATTATAGGTGTGAGCCACTGGTGCCTGGTGCCCACTTTGTTTTATTGAGGTCCAAATTACATACTCTAAAATTCATACTAAGGCTGAATTACATGTATTTTACTGAATTTATACAGCTTGCCTTGCCCGTTCCCTGGGTTAGAACACTGGCTTCACCACAGAAAGTTCCTTCACACCCATTGGCACTGAGGCCGCCCTTCTACCTCTATGCCAGCTGTCTGTGCTCTAGCTGTCTTTTCTCTCTATACTTTTGCCATTAAAAAAATTTTTAAGTAGGTTTATTTTTATGATATATTTTACATCAAGCACTTGAATCAAAACTCAATCTCTGTATTTAATATAATCCTTTATAATTACATCTAATTATTATCTGAAAATACCCACTGAATGAAATCAGCAAATGAATAAAATAAGTAAAGTGACTGTACACTATAAACCCGGGCAGGGTCATGCGTGATCAGTCACGGAAGTCACATTGCCACCATGTTTTAGTCTCGATTCACATTTATTTCCAGCACATAGACATCCATTTTGAGTGTTAGCTTAGACAACAGAGCCTAATAACGTAAAGCTATGTTGCCTTAGAGGAAATTCAGTTTAATACAAAGAACTTCAGGAAGAAAAATCAGGACCCTTAGACGGAACCATTCTGTGCTTGTATAACTTTGGTGCAGCTAAGGTTCAGGGACTAAAACTAAGGA